AACTGTAGTCACTGTTAAGTTTATCCAGATGTGTGCATGTGCACAGAATATATTTACTGGATGTATCATATTTTAAGTTCCCAGTGGAAATCTTGGAGGCCTAAAATAAATTCATCTCAAATCCCAAGTACTGCTTTGAATCCAGCCATCAAAGGCATAATTTTCAGCAAATGATTACATGCCAAAGTTCTGCCTATATTCTCTAAAGAACACAATGAACACGAACACTTTGGTTTCCAGAATAACTTAGCACAGACTTTAGAATGATCACTGGACAAATGGGTTTCACTTGCTAGAGAAAAAATTGCTATTCTCAACATTTTTTTCTTTGGAAAAAGTCTCCTAAAATAATAAGACATATTTGTTTCCACAGATAAGACATGAAACGGAATGTGGGTGAGGATGGAAGAGAAGGTTCATTAAGCACACCTCAGAAAGGGCAGACTTGGAGCCAGTGAGCTCAACATGGCGAGTGTGAAGTTCATATGAAATGGGCAATTGTTCCTGGATAAAACACAAGAGTCATCCAACCTGTTCCTGGAGACTTCTCTCATCATGAGAGAAGCAAGTGCACTCTAGACTTTGATTCAGGTTTCCCTGGATTAATACAATTGGAGATAGGGGCATGAAGAGGGGAATAATAAGGACACTTCTGGCTCATTGCTCTCCAGCAGATGCCAAGATCTTATACAACAGGACAATTTCCATTTCCTAAATACAATGATCATTTGAATATTTTATGTCTCAATATTTCTACTCTAATTCTACTGCTGTTCTCCAACACTGAGAAACAGTTTAGACAGAGAGAATCACCGAAATGGTTTTATAGATAGATATCTACAGTTTCCTCTCTCTGCCTTTATGTGCTTTTCATGTATCATGTTTTCAAATGGATTTCAGATTTGTCAACAAGACTGAGGTTGTGCCAAATGCCCCCTCCTCTGTGAGGTTGTTTGAGCAACGGCAGTTAGAACAGCAACAAATAGGCAATATATCAGAGAGATGTCTTCTCATTCACACGACTCTTCAACATTGAAGCTGACCATATGCTACACAAAAAGGACTTTGACAATGAGTTTGGCTTCTGCCCACTCGGAAGTAAGCTAAAACCAGAATGTCTTTTTGCTCAATTTCTCCAGATAACTCAAATTTTAAAATGAGTCTCAGCATGAAGTTTTGTTCTTAATTTTAAGTCACGCTATGTCTTTACATTGACCAGATTCTTAACAGTTCAACCTTAAGCTCTAAAGCAGTTTTATGATCTTTGACTGGACTTTATTTTCTATTTCAGACTAATGAAAGCTTCTGAGACAGATAAATTTTATTTGCTAATAGCCTGAATTATACCAAACCTCAGAATTTTGTCCAGCTTCTTCAAAGTAAAAACCTAAAAGAACAAACAAAACAACCACACACACGAATATGCAAATACACATTTATACACACACATACACACACACACACACACACACACACACACACACACACACAATGAAATAAGGAGAGGCATAACTCAAAATTAGGATTCCTTAAGAAGTTTCTGTTTTTATCTTTTTCTTTTTCTTTTTAATTGTGAAATATTCCTTAACAGAAACATTTTTCGCAAGTCACTTTCAAGGCATCTAAACAGCTGCTTTCTAAACTATGCCAGTAGAAATTAGCATGACTATTTGTAACAGATAAAAAAACTCAGTTGTTTACCAATAATTCTTCAGTACTAACAGCTGCATCACTGACTTTGGAAGTGAGGAAACACCTTCTAAATTATATAGATTTGAGCTGATGTGATCACTTTTCCCACTGATAATTAAATCCCAATATAGTTTGGTACCACATCTTTTATTCATGAAGTCATCTTTGGAAAACCACATTTTAATAACATAAAACAGATCTACAGTAGCACTAAAATTGAATGCCACTCAGTATATATGAACATTTCTGACAGATCACATCCAGTCAGTGTAGAGGCCTATTCATCACAGCACTCCGAGGGCCCAAGGATGCTTATTATGGGACCAGCATGAATACACCTTAGCTATCGGTAGACTATTTCTTCTACAACTACCAGAGAACTGGTGATACTAGGAGTCATCTTTTCTTGAGGAAAGATATCCTTTCATTTGGGTAGCTAGCCCCACCATGAGTTATTGTACCCTTCCCTTTTTCTGGGTTGTTCCATCTCATCAAGTTTCCTTAGCCTAATGTTATTAAGGGTGAATATACAACTCTATCTTCCATTAACAACCATATAAGACATTTTAAAAGCAGACTCCTTCAACAGGCTGGTTCAAACAGCAGTATCTGACAATATGGCAAGTAGTACACTTGATACTCTCAGGATTCAGGTTAAGAAATATATGCAGGTTTACTGGAAAAAAAAAAAACAAGGCACAAATATACTGTGCATTTACATGAACCATGGTTTGCACTTGAGAACAAAGGTTATCAAAATAGGTAGCAGAGGGTAAGAGGGTAATGTTCAAATGCCCAAAGCACTGCCTTCCATGAAAAAAGAGACAAATTTCTGTATTACATTCTCTGGTGTGTAATAGGAGCTAGAATGTCAGAGTTCTTACCAGTGATTCCAGAAATGAATACAGTCACTCGAGGTACTTTCTACAAGTTAAAACTAAGAAAATGACATGTGATCAAATACATGGAAGTGGCAATGACAGAGAACAAGTATTGAGTTTGAGGAGGATTTCTTAGCTATAAGGTTTTATCATTATTTATTCTCGCGTAGGTCTTCGCTGGAGATGATCAATCACGAGGAAGTCAATTTGGCATATTTGTCAAGATTGCAAAAACTTCTCACGCCATCATTAGTGTTTTAATTTGTCTTATTAGTGAGAATTAATTAGAGAGTAAATTGGTATATAAAACATATACACATGAATATGCATACGGTATTTTTAAATGCACTGATATTTCCCATTTCCTCCAGCAGAGGTCAGAAGATAGCAATACAGGAATATGAAAATCTATGAACCAAGATAATATTTTAGAGTGATTTTCTCCAGATAGGATTATGGAGGAGTTTTTAAAAATTATTTTTATTTAGCCATATTTTCTAATTATATTTTTTATAATACACGTATTGTACTTTTATAATAATTGAAGAGCAATAACATTTATTTTACATATTATGGAGCACTGCTGGTATATGTATATACCCTGTACTAAGTCAGGGATACTGCTTAATTATCTGTGTTGTCTTAGCTGCACATAGAGTATTGAAAAATAGTCTAAAAGGCTGCACATTTGGCCATCATTGTGAAAAATTATTTCAGTGTAACATCATTTTCTGCAATTGATGACAATAAACAACTCTCTCAAACAAGGGATTTAGTGTCAGAAAAAGACAAAGCATCCTGGACATAGCTCTGAACTGACAAAAATCCCTGCACACACAAAGAAGAATATAATCTTTGGTTATCTGCTTCATCTGGAGAAATCGAAGAGACGCTAGTGTTTTGAGAAGTCAATCTCTGCAAATCTTACAGGTAGAATAAAGAGACATAAGAAATTGGTCAACATGAACAACGTTTTTTAAAAAAAACCAAAGAACCCAACTAAGGGCACTAAGAACTGCTGATTGATGTTCAACAAATCCCACTATCACCATGCTGTTTTCATTTCTATTTCATGTGTCTCTTTTTCTGCTAGACACAGAAAGTAGCAAGGTGAAAAGGTTTATAAAACAAAATTTGAAAGTCAACCAAAACATTTGTTTATAAATAAAGGAAAACTTTTACTCATATTATACCAAATTTAGCAGGTGCTTCATTCCTGCTTTATTAAATGATTCATAATGTATGATCTGGTGTTTGTCTTGATAATATCACTCACAAGTAATATGAGGGTTTCAAAATTATTACAGAAATCAAAACTGACTGTTGCTATTTTTTTCTGTCCTCTAAAGTGAGAGTCCTTTCTACCAGTGAGAAATGGGGGCAAATGAGGAAGAAAGAGGAAAGACTGAAATTCAAAACCTCTGCAGTTCTGTGTGACTCCTGGGTGGAGCCTGGAGTAGGTGATTCTTTGCTTGTCAGAGAACATGAAGTGACTTTTTGGACCAAGATGAGGAATCTGGGAAAACAGAGGAGCAGAAAGATGTGAAGAGAGTCTGAAGACCAGCAACATAGTGGGAGATTGGAATCTGCAAGTAAAGGTGACCAGAGAGAATCTTCGTGGATGCTTTGGACTAAGGACCAAGCATTAGAATGTCCAATATTCAGTTCTAAGCTGTTTGTGTTTCTACCATTTATAAGCCCTCCAATGCTCAAACTTCAATTACGTCTTCTGCTCACAAATGTTTGAGGTGGCCTGAGGAAAATCAAGACAAATAGGTGAGTTTGAACCCAGGTTGGCATAGAGCAGAGGTGGGAAGTAAGTCACAGGTCATGAGATGTGGATGAGTATAGATGTCATGGAAGCAAGAACCATGAGCCACAAATGACCACGGGAATGAGAGCCCCAGTAAACTCATAGAAATCTTGAGAAGACCAATGGAGCATCCTCACAAAAGATTTGGGACTTGAGCCACTTTGATGGCAATCTCCAAAGAAGAATGAGGTATAGTACACAAAGCTAAAACTTCACAATGTTCCATTAGACATATTGCAAATACTCTTTATAATGTGCAGTTTAGGGCGGCATTTGTAAATCTTACACAGGTTTTTCTATAACATGAAGGAGTCCCAGGTATTTAAATATTTAATAAATAATCACAAATGTACTTTTCTCTAGAGACTTTGTTATCCATTTTACCAAATGGACAAAACAACTTCATCAATAACCTTCTTAAGCAGGTTTAGAATTTCCACTGTATTCTCCTTTGATGATAGTTAATGAATTCTCAGAATCACCAGAAATACCTTTATAAAATACATGTGCATCATCCAGAGATGCAGGAGAGCCTCTGACAATGATCTGGAACTCATACAGGGAAATACCCATAAAGAAGCTTTCAAACCCTTCAAAGTCTGGCCCAGGCTTACCTTTACATGGTGGATCAGATGCTCAACTTCATTCACTTTGTAGGTCTCCAAGCCTAGCTCCTTGGCTAATCTTAAGATGCGATTCTGAGTTGGCCCAACATAGGCTCCTCCAAGGTCCACATATTTAACCTTTTGATTCTATTTTGTCATAGAAAAAATAAAAGCAAACATTTGTGAAAATATTCTGAAAATGAAACAGATAGTTCTGAATTTTTTTTTTAAATTAACATTTCACAAGTTAAAGATACATCTTAAGGTGTATCTATGGAAAACTGGATTCTGTTCTCAATTCTACTTCATTCGTGTGACTTAGTTATTAAATCAGTCTTTAATTTAAAGCAAAATTGGTTGAACATTAAATAGGCAAGAGATTTCTGGACCTCATCATTCATAATATACCACAACATGATTTGGCTTTTAGTGTCCTGAATTTGTAAGTTGTGAATTGTTGATGAATCTCTTTACTCAGTATTCAGGCTAATTTTGAGAGGCCTAATGCTAGAGAAAAAGCAAGAAATAAAATTGTCACTTCTTATGTGGTTTGTTAATTCAGGTATCTGAAAGATAGCACCAGGGAATATTTGGTCATAATTTGGACTTTGCAATTGCTTTTATGTTTAATAGTATTTTTTCTATATGGCTTTAAATTGGCTTCATTTCTAATGACTAAGGGGCAATCTATTAAAAAGAAATGAGGATTTAAATTTCTCTATCTCTGAACAGATCTAAGCAAAACCAGGCTCATACTAATCAGGGACACCAGAAATGATTCTCCTTTCCTGTTTTTGTTTGTTTGCTTGTTTATTGTCTAGTTGTCCACTCAATTTCACCATGCAGTTTTCACAAGGGATCTTCATTTTATTCACTGAAGTATTATAAATACTATATTAGTTGCCCAATAAATTTTCTCAAAAAATAAAAGAAGGGTGTTTTTAAAAAAAAAAAAAAACTCAGCACATAAGCATACTAAATCAGTCTCATTTATGTAAAAGGCACTTTCATGTTATATTTTGTGGGGAATATGAAAATTTCAAGAACTGGAGGAGATAAGATATACACAGGTCAGAACCTATAAGGCAACATATAATAATTGTCCGTGTATGGAACATATTAAGTGGTATAAACACAGAAGAAAAGCAGTAGCTTTTGATTGATGTTAAAAGGGATGACATCCTGAATGTGTGTGAAAGTTTTTCCATATGACAAAGATTAAAAAAGATATTTAAGGAACAGATGATGGCAAAGCGATGACCAGCAGACAAGAAGGGCTAAGGCCAATGTGGAGACTTGCATAGAACCAGAAATAGAGTATAGGTTATATGTCAGGGTTAATGACAGATAAGGTTTTCAGGTAGAAAGGCCCTAGCTCCCAAGACTGGGTAAGGTACCCTATTATATCTTCTGTGACACCACTCCAAGTTGGCACCCATCCCCAGTTTAACATTTCTCTTGATGAGTTACAGTTAAGCAATTACAAGTGTGCCCCAGAAAACTATGAGCTCTTTGGGTCAAGGCCATGCTTCAGTGATCCCTGTGTCTGACACGTAATAGGTACTCAGTAGGTATTTGTTGAGAACAAATTGACTTGCAAAGAAGTTGACTAAAAGTTAGACATGTATCATTGCTGAATTCACTTCCAAAAGAAGAGCTGAAGTTGGGTTGGGGAGCAAGGGAATGGGGAGCTGTTCATCAAAGAGTACAAAGTTTCAGCTAGACAGGAAGAATACGTTCTGAGGTATTTATTGCATAGTAGAGTAATTGCAGTCAACAATAATGTTTTATATATTTCAAAATAGCTAAGAGTAAATTTCATACATATCGCCACAAAAATGTTAAGTGAGTCACGATGATAGATATGTTCAGTAGCTTGATTGAATCACTCCAATTGTATACATAAAACTGAGCGTCACATTGTACTCGATAAATGTAGTACAATTATGATTGCCAATTAAAAATAATATAAATGTATGAATAAATAAATGAGAGATAGTCTCTCCAAAAAAACCCTGAAGTTTAGTTCGTATGGTTGTAATGATTGTGTTGATGTTAGAGAAGCCTTGAAGTTAGGGATAGAAAGTACAAAAAATTGTGATAGTCTTCATCCTATTTCACACACACACACACACACACACACACACACACACACACACACACGCCTGCCCATTTCTCTCCTTCCCAACCCTAACTCTATGATGCCAAATATCATGATTTGAGAAGACAAAAAGGGACAGAAGAAAGAGTTGAAAGGGAGGCAAACTGAGACTAGGTGTGAAGAATGTTTCAGAGTAATTTTCACCTCAAAAAGAGTCCACTGAAATTTAAGACCTTCAGGGGAAAAAAACTTAACAAAACCCAGCTTTAATCCCATATTTCTCTACTTGATTCTTAATGTCTTACCCTGATAGTGTAAGTCCTGCCTCCCACACGATCCCGGGCTTCTAGAACAACCACATTCAGGCCAGAGTCATGTAGAAGTTTGGCTGCTGCCATACCTGGGAGAAAATACAAGAAAACATCAGGATCAAATACTGTATGTGGATGCCAGACAAGCTCCTCATGCTAACAGTCAATGAGAAAGGTCCATGTTGGCTCACAGACGTGGCCTACTGTCACTTTCAACTTACAGGTGGATAGGGTTTCTCAATAGAGGCCCAGAGTCCAAGTCTGGGAAACCAACAGATAATTCCAGAAAGAACAAAAGGGTTTACATTTTTTGGTAAATGTCTCAAATCTTAAAAAATCCTTGACTGCTATAGAAAAATGTCTATTTTAATGGCTAAATTGCATGTCTGACAACATAGATGACAACACGAGGCCCCACTCAAGAGAAATGAATGAGCTGCAGCAGACACAGGACCAACTCTAGCTACTGATTTTATTCTCAGGGTAAATCTGAAAATCTGGTCAACTGGGGAGGATAGGCCTTCAAAGTCTTTGCAAGAAACTGGGATTTACTGTCAAAATTGGACTTTTGGAAGTTGGCACAAAATTTCAAAAACAAGGACACAAAATCCAACCCCTTTTGCATCCTAATTTCCCAATATGACCCATTGCTGAAGAATGAAATGACTCCATGAAAGCACCCAGTTAATTATTAATTTAGTCAAAAATACTTACTGTCTAGTACGTTTTCATTACCACGAATTTAGTTTTTATTTATTATTTATTTATTTATTATTTTGAGTTGGAGTCTCACTCTGTCACCCAGGCAGGAGTGCAGTGGCACATTCACAGCTACCCCAGCATTGACCTGCTGGGATCCCACGATCCTTCTGCTTCAGCCTTCTAAGTAGCCAGAACTACAGGCACGTGCTACCATGCCTGACTAATATTTTTGTGATCTATTGTAGAGATGAGGTCTCGACAATTTGCTTGGGCTGGTCTCGAATCCGTGGGCTCAGGCAATTCACTGGCTTCGGTCTCCCAAAGTGGTGGGATTACAGGCTGAGCCACCAAGCCCGGCCAAGAATTTAGTTTTTAAAAACCCACAGTTTGATTAAGGAAAATTCACATATAAAAACTTTACCCATTGTGATGGTTGCTTTTAGCTGTCAACTTGACTAAATTGAAGGATACCTAGGTGGCTGGTGAGTGAGGGTGTTTACAGAGAAGACTGGCTTTTGAATCAATACACTGGTAAGAGAAAGACATGCTCTCAATGTAGGTGAGCACCATTCAATTGTCTGGGGCCCTTCTGGGGAAGAAAGGGGACTCTCTCTCTTCCTTCCAGAGCGGGAAAGTTTTTCTCCTCCTGCCCTTGGGTATCAGACTGCAAGTTCTTCAGCTTTAGGACTCTGGGACTTGCATCAGTGGCCTCCCGGAGGCTCTGGGACTTTTGGCCCTGAACTGAGGCCTGCACCATTAGCTTCCTTAGTTCTGAGGCTTCCAGACTAAGCTGGCTTCTCTAGTACTCCAGCTTGCAGATGGCCTATCATGGGGGCTTCTCTGCCTCTGTGAAGGTGTCAGCTAATTCCCTTAATAAATCCCCTTCCACCTGTCCTTTTGGTTCTGTCTCTCTGGAGAACCCTAACTAATACACCCATTTTGGTGTAGAGTTCAAAAAGTTTTGACAAAATACAAAGCATAGTGTGGCGACTGTGTGTGAAGTATTTGGTACTAATTCATCCTGGATGTAGTTTTTGGTCTCAGAGCTTTTAAAATTCTGGTTCTTTAAAACCGCTCTTATAGAATTTAGCAAGAGTTTTCTCAGATAACAGAACTCTTCCCCTGATAAACTGAATTTTCTCAGCTCCAATGACCTTACTCATTTGCTTTATGAGACCAAACAAAATCAAGGACATGCAAGACACTGTCATGCCTTACACATAAATAAAACAGCTTCTATCCTGTCTTTTGAAAATAATAATTCTGTGACTTTCAGACCCCATTATTGCAAAAATAAAAAATGATTCTTACAAAAATAGCTATTACTCATATAATGTTGTATCCTAAGTGCTTTATTATATTAATTCAATGAATTTTTATAACAACCCAATGAGATAAGGTGCTGTAATATTTCCATTTTATGACTGAAGAAACAGAAACCTAAAGAGGTGTCCAAGGTCCCATAAGGAGTAGGTCAAAGCTAGTTCCACTCCAGCATCTGTATTCACAACCACTACACAATACTGCCTTCCCCAAGGCCCTCATGGCCATCCTCCTCATTGATCATATCTCCTAATTTTTGCTGCAGGGAGAAATTGCATTTCAAAAGATATTTTTCACTTTGTTTGGATCAACATGTTTTAAAGACTTACTTGTGTCTTGTGGTTTGATAAGAATCCATATAACATAAAATATGAGCCCACATTAAAAACCATGAAAAGCCAAGGCTTTGGTCACCATCTATCGATGATCTTAAAGGAGAAAATCCATTTTTCAGAGAGGGCTGATTTGACATTTCATTATTTGGGTTAATTCGTCTTCCCATCCTTGTCACTGGGGACAGGGCCAAGGCTTTCAATTTGTGATAGAATAACAGTTTCAAGGTCCACAATCCCTCTGCAGTGCATACTAGCATTGCACAACCCTAATTTAAGAAGGCATGGCTTAGATTTTTTTACTCCATTTTCCTAATTTTAACTCCATAAGGGAAAAAAAACTCCTCTTTAAATTCAAAATTGCAAACAATTCAAGGACGTTTTCTTATCAAGCATCAGTTTGACAAATGAAATAACATGCAGTCATAGTTACAGCTGTTATCACAAAGGGATTCTTGAAGGAAATTCATCACTTGTATACACTAGCATTTCATATTCCACAAAGTATACTGTCTTTTAGTAAGTGCAGTTACCCAATAATATCTGATGCTAAAAATAAACAGTTTTTAAAACAAACCAGGGGTGTTTCAAACCATTGAATAGAGTTCTCTATGCTCATGTACCTTAAAAAAATTCTAAAGAGAACATTACAAAAATATCTTTAAATAGGGCAGCACAAAAGTATGTTGCTAAGACACCTTGCAATTTAGGTCACTAATGTTCATAGGAGGTAGCCAACCAAAATGCTTGTTGGGCATCAAATGACAAAAATTAATTTGAAAAATAACTGGTCCAATATCGATGACTTAGGGAAGTCACTGAAATTAGAAGAAGGAAATTTAGGGTAGCTAAGAAACTAAGGAGTTAGAGTCTGGTCAGGATGTGATTAATATTGTCTAGAAGAGGTAGCTCTTAAAAATCTTTCTCAGTGATGACTGATACAAGGAGTAATGGTTTGACTGCTAAAGACTAAGTAAACAATTAACTTTACAGAGCCTCCCATGCTTACAGGAAAGTCGTTTCCCAAGAGTTCTTTCCTGTGTTGGTTGTTTGGAACTTTTAACACATTTGCTACAGAAACAAAAATATGGGAGATGGTACATTATCTGGGAAGTCTGAGAATTTTCAAGTGCAATACTATTGCAAATAAAATCATAAAGTAACAGAAATATATTTGTCTTAAGAACACTGGACAATGTAATTGCCATGGTTAAACACTTATGCAATAGTCTTCTGATATAATGCAATTAACAGATTTTTTTACAAAAGGAAATGCCTACAGTAATAATAACCACCATCATAAAACATGAAGCACTTTGGTCTGGGTGAAGTGCTTTCCACATAAAGCTTAGGTGATACTCACCACAATGCTAAGGGGTAAATATTATTATCCTCATTTTAAAAAGAAGAAATAGAGGTTTTAGAGTTGTCCAATGACTTACTGTAGGTTACACAATTAGTAAGTGACAAGGTCAGAGTTCAACTCAAAACCTGAAATCTTAGGCACTACCCTTGGACCAAAAGGGAAAATTAAAAACACACTAACTCTATAGATACACTGATGGATGTAAAGTGTCTTAAAACATTCTGTTCTGTATCTAAATATAAAAATCCTAAATATCATCTTTTCTCTTAAAGAGACATTTAACTTTAGCAGATAATTTAGGAGCAAGCTTATAGTCACTTTGCACTTTTAGAAAGCTAACGAAACTTGAATTTAACATGCAGAATCAATTAGTATCTTACAAACTGATGGTTATTCAGCACTTTTAGAAGCAGTCCCTATGTGTCTCTGACAGGCCCTTGAGTGAATAACCATAGCATGGCACATACAAATAATGGTAGACTAATATCTAATGCTATGAAATTATAAAAATTTCAGAGTGGTTTACTTGGAAAAGATTTCATCAAAGTGATGACTATCTCAATTATGATTAGACACTCAAATTATTTTAAATACCTGGAAATCAGTGTTGTCCAGCATTAGTAACATTCTGTGCTTCTAGTTTTGTGCCATGAAAAATGGCCCAAGTTAGATGCTATAAGAGACTGGGAAGTTACACAGTGGAGGTAACACAGAAGGGACCTCTTCACAGTGTCTTAAGAGCAGTTGGATATGAAGGGAAGGGTAAAATCAAAATCACCATCTGCCTCATTCTTTGTTTTGTCAATCTGTTTCACCTTCTTCATATTAAAATTTGATATTTAACAAAAGTTTTAAAATATTTTAAAATGCAAACTTAATTGTCTTGAAAACAGTATGAAACAGAAGTACTTAGATACTACATAAGGACTTTTTCCCTGTTTAAAGTTACGAGACCCCTACATATCACCATACACAAAAATTAACTCTAAATGGATCAAAGACCTATATGTAAAACCTCAAACTATAAGAATCTTAGAAAATGCAGCCAATACCCTTATGGAAATTGGAACTGGCAACCAATTCCTGATCAAAACCCCAACTGCTCATACCATAAGATAAGATAGACAAGTGGGACCTCATCAAACTGACAAGCTTTTTTAAAGCCAAAGAAACCATCAAGAGAGCAGGGAGATAGCCCACAGAATGGGAAAAAAATATTTGCCAACTGTATATCTGACAAAGGCCTAACATCTGGGATCTACAAGGAACTCAAACACTTTGAAAGGAAAAAACAAAAGGCCCCATTAAAAAGTGAACAAAAGACATGAATAGATACTTTTCAAAAGAAGATATATGGGCAGCCAACAGACACATGAAAAAGTGCTCAGCCTCACTAATTATCCAAGAAATGCAAATCAAAACCACATTGAGATAACACCTGCCCCAGAAAGAATGGCCACCATTAATAAAACAAACAACAACAGATGTGGAGAAAAAGGAACACTTCTACACTGCTGGTGGAATACAAACTAGTGCAACCTCTTTGAAAAACAGTGTGGTGATTTCTGAAAGAACTGGAAATTGACCTTCCATATGATCCAGCAATTCATCTACTGGGAACATACCCAGAGGAGCACAAATCATTCTACCAAAAAGATACCTGTACACACATGTTTGTTGCAGCTCTATTCACAATAGCAAAAACATGGAACCAACCATGCTGCCCATCGAAGCTGGACTGGATTTTAAAAATGTGGTACAGATACTCAATGGAATATTATGCAGCCATAAAGAAGGACAAACATATGGGCTTCACAGCAACTTGGATGGATTTAGAGTCGATCATACTCAGTGATCTATCACAGAAACAAAGAACAGAGTACCATGTGTTCTCACTCATAAGCGAACCTTGAACAATTGTAATACTATAAGAAAGGGATTGGCAGTAGTTGGAAACTGCCAGGGGAAGGAAGGAGAGATTGGCAGTTAAGGAAAATTACCAGGGGAAAGAGGGGCACACCTCATCAACAAGGGTACCTGCATAATGAACATTTTTATACTTAACCCTGAATTGTACCCCACATTTTTAAAATAAAGAAAAAAAGGTTACGAGAGAGAGAGAAAGGGAGACTGACTCATATTAATCAAAATTGACAATCAAATTCATTGTACCTCAAAACATCCCTAACTTGTAGCCCTGGTAAATGATATAGGCATGCCCACAGGACAGATAAGAGCTAAAATAAGATAAGCAAATATCCCTCATCTCCTGTGTCATTTCTTACAAAGTAATGGTTTTGTGAGGAAATTCTAGAAACAACTAACTAACCTTCTGATCAAAGAACTAGAATTCTTTAATGTCTCTAAAGAGAATGCTTTTTAGTTTAACAAAAATACATACCCAAAAGGTCTGAGGTAAGAAGGCAGTTATCCTCAATTTGAAATCAAATTTATTAAGGGAAAGTGGTATTTGTAGGTAGAATTCAGATGGTCATTGTTGAATTTTCCAACATGGGGTAGCAAGGAGACCCTGAGCAGGTAAAGTCATCACTGAAAACAACTAACATTTTGAGCACTCACTATGTGCCAGCTTCTCTTTTAAGTGTTTTAAGAACTTATTTATCCTCCCAATAACTCCATGAGGTGGACAAATGTTGAAGGTGAAGCATAGAGAGGCCAAGTAATGTGCCCAAGGTCACACAGCTAGCAAGTGGTGAAGCCAGTATTCAAATCCAGGTAATCTGACTCCAGGCAACAAGCACGCTGGCAGCCTTGATGAAAAACTGAAAACGGTCCCTTTAGCATCATGGACCAGATAAGCATCAGGGCCACTCTTAGCACACTGGTGCATGCCTTTGTGTAAATTACAAGAAGGCACACATTCCTGGCTAGTAAATTTCCAAAAGTCATCCTTCCTTCAGACAAATGTAGCCCTCATCAGTACAAATGACTTGACTGGCAGAGTGGAGGCTGGACTGCATCCCCTTCCACTGCATCAGCAAGGTGTCCTTGTGCAGGGCACCACCTGAACATTTTATGCTGTGACCTTGAAGTTCAGAAAAAATACTTCCTGAACAAAAAAAATTTAACTATTTATTCTTTCTCTCCTCAATGCTAGTACACAGTTGGCACTTAAACATTTGTTGAATGGATTTATTTAATACCTTTCAACAGAGATGACATTTAATTACTTGGTCAATAAATAAACAAATGATTGCAGTTGTATGTGCATATGCATAGTATTTTAAATATAGTATAAGAAACTAAAATATTTAGGCATACTGAAACTGATTTCCCCTGGTCACACCGGAAATAGTAATGAAAACCCTTGAATTTTTCAAAGGGAAAGAAAGATAGCCAATTAATAGTAATAATCACTTTATATTTATACTGCACTGCACAATTCCAACTCTCACACACAATCAGTCCTTAACAATAACCCTGTGAGGTTGGTATTGGTTATTCCCATTTTCAGACCAGGAAATGGAGGCTCAGAAAGCTTCAAGGGCTTGCTCAGAGTTATAGTTAGCAGTGGCAGTTAGGTCTGAAACTATTTTGTTTCTGTGTCCTATGTGTTTTCCATCAGTCACATTACCTCCTGTAGCATACAAAGACCCATGTTGCTAAAACAAAGTTCTCAAAGCATGCAGTTTTGAAATCAGAACATTTTAAATTAACTTTCTTGGAAAGAATATGTTAATGAAAATCACCTGGAGCCTGTCAGTGTCCAAAGCTCTGGGACCATATCATTAGAGGAAGATCCAAAGGCATTTGGAACAACACAGCACTCTTTAGGGAGGCTCCATGAACTACACATTAAGAGGTGCTTTGGCCAAATAGCTCCTCCTCCTTAAGTTGAAACTGACTTCTCTTCCCTGAGAATGCACCAATCACAATTTTGGGGAAAATCTAAACAACACTTGACATAAACCAAACATACCAATGTGTTCCATCATTTTGATCATTGAAAAGCAAAGTCTAAAATGACATTACTCACATCTTGTCCTCCCAAATGAAAAAGATACATCCAAGCCTTCTTGGAAGCATGGTAACCTTTACTGTGTTTTTTTTTCTAAGACCATCAAAATATATAACAAAAAAATAGCAATAGCTTGTAAAATGGAGACCTTTACTGAAGCCTAAGGCTGTAGGATGATTTATGTTCTTGAAAAAGATAAAAAACATCAAGCTTTCATAAGTTACCATAGAAACCTTTCTCCAGATGCAGCCGCTTCAAGATACTAGAATGAGATTGCCTTCCAAGACCTTTCAGAATATGTCTAAAACCATAAAAATTGTTTCTTCATCGTACTTTATATGCAAATGAATGCATTTTTCTAAAATGTCAGCAATCATAATGAGCCTTGTTTCATATCCAAGCTTTTGTCTTTACCCTTTGTTGTTTGAAGGAGTTGACTATCTTTTGTGTATTTTAATTGTGGTAGACACAATCTGTTTTCACTTTACCCCAACATGGTCTCCCATGAATAAAGAAAGCAAACTCAGAAATTACAGCTTTGTCTTTCTCAAGCTTGTGTGCTACATTATTAATTTTTAAAAGTGTTCAATAAGACTAAATTTTTAATTTACCTGCCTCAAATCCTTGTAGGAATTAGATGAAATGTGTATGAATAAATAAACACACACTTTTAAGAAAACTTGCTTTTTAAATATAGAAGATAATCACACGGTGCCATGATCATTTCCTTAATGGAGATCTAAGGACGAAACATTTCATTGACATGACAGTAGCACTCCTATAGATTACCAACACAATTTTTAGAATCACAAACATTTTTAAGGCAGACTGTAAAATTAAAGAGATATGAGTCACGCCCTCCCTAAAGCCCATTCTCTGAAAGAGATGGGTGTTACAAATGTCATGAAGAGGGTCAGAGGTCTGCTGTAGAGTACCTTGACTACCTCTCCATAAAAACATTTCCTTTCACCAAAATTGAGATGATGGATTAGAAATTCTAGAGAAAGAGGAGAAAATGTGTGTGTTGCCAAGGAAAAGAATTCTGAGTGTGATGTAATGAGGGATAGGAAAAAATGAAGTTACAAAGGAGTCATTTCACAATGCTAAAGCCTGGTGCTCCCTCTGTCTTCTGGGAGCCTAAAGAGCCTGTGGAGGATGGCCCAGGAGCTTTACTTTGCCTGCTCCTCAAACACACCTGTGAAACAAAGACCAAGGCAGTAAGCAATATTGCAAGTACCAGAGTAGAATGAAAACACCACCTTGTCAAGGACAAGGCAGGATGTAGAGATCTATACCTGACAGGCCACTTCCCAGCTGCATAATCTCAGACAAGAGTCCTCACCTTTCTGGGACTTACTTTCCCTATCCATAAAATAAGGTGATTAAATTAGGACCCTTCTAATCTGTGTATCGTCTATATGAGACAAGGTGGTGATTTCATAAAAGCTGAGATCTCATTATATAGGCAATGTCTTCATGACCCCAAAGAATCTAGCCCAAAGTCAGCCCTGTGGAGCATGAACTTTGAGTGTCATCAATAGGTGTGAATAAAAACATGTGATTTAATAAAAACATGTGCTAGGATAATTATGGATGAAATATCATGATGTCTGTGACACTTTGAAACGCATCAAAAAAACAAGAAGGATTGAGACATGGGGAAAAATGGATAGATGGATACAATGGAATAAGGCAAATACAGCAAAAAAGAAAAGTTGTAGACTCTAGTTAGTGAGTATATGAGTACTGACTACACAATTTTTTGAAAATCTTCATAATAAGAAAATTCTGGAAAAAAAAATTAAACTGGTTTCTATTCAGCTGGACTTGTCAGAGCCTTAGTGAATCATGCAACTCCATCAGGAGATACTATATACTATTTGCATAATGTCTTAGTCTTTATAACTTATTGGGCAACAGGAGAGGGAAGCGATTTTTCTCAAAGGCAGAAATTTCTCCTTACATATTTTGGGAAAATACCTAAAGTAACCGATCAATTTGGTCAATGTGGTTAAAATTTGTGGTAGGTTCATCACAGAACCCTTCTCTAAAAAAAAAATTATCTTCTCTTCCTTCCAACAATCCAAACATAGTTAACAGCACCATTGTCCTTAGGCTGTGCTTTATTAAGGAATTGATGTCCAAAACGTGACTTGCCTCTAGGAAAGAACAAAGCCTAACAGAGGAGGTACTGTGAAGGCAAGGAAGAAGGTGACTACAGGTATTTGGAAAGAAAGCTTCCAAAGGGCAGAAGTGCATTAGGATAGCCCAGTTATAGAAAAGTGGAAAATGGACCGGGCATGGTGGCTCAAGCCTGTAATTCCAGCACTTTAGGAGGCCAAGGTGAGGGGATTGCCTAAGCCAACAGGTTCGATAACAGCCTGGGCAACTTGGCAAGACCTCGTCTCTACAATGCACCAAAAAAATTAGCCGGGTGTGGTAGCCCGCACCTGTAGTTCCAGCTACTTGGAAGGCTGAGGTGAAAGGCTTGCCGGAGCCCAGCAGGTCAACACTAGGGTGGCCGTGAGTGTGCCACTGCACTCCAGCCTGGGCGATGGAGTGAGACTCCAACTCAAACAACAACAACAACAACAACAAAATGTTTAAGAAAGAAATGTGGAAAATGATGAAATGAGAAAGAAAAAGACAGGGAAGGTTGCCGCTTTCTTCTTTCAGGACACGAGGTGTGGCAGGAGCACCCAGGCAAAGGTAGGCCAAAGATAGGTCTAGGGACAATGTTCTCAGCTGGAGCCTGGAGAAAGGGAAAGTGTGCTGCCACCTCTGATGAGTCATAGGTTAGCCAAAGGACAGCCAGATGAGTAAGTTTGGGTAGCATGGTGTCATGGGTTGAATTAAGTCCCCCCAAATTCATATGTTGAAGTCCAAACCCCCCACAACCTCAGAATGTGACCTTATTGGAGATAGTCTTTACAGAAATAATCAAGTTAAAATGAGACCAGTAGGGTGGGCCCTAAACCAATCTGACTGATGTCCTTATAAAAAGGGAAAGTTTGGACACAGGAACATGCACACAAGGAGAACAGCATGAGGAGATGAAGGCAGAGATGGGGGTGATACGTCTACAAGTCAAGGAACCCCAAAGATTGCTGGCAAATCACCAGAAGCTGAGAAGTGGCATGGAATAGTTTCCCCTCAAAACTCTCAGAAGGAACCAAATAATGTTGATCTCAGACTTCCAACCTCCAGAACTGTGGGGCAATACATTTCTGTCATTATAAGCCACCCAGTGTGTGGAAGTCTGTTATGGCAGCCCTAGCCTACTGATACATATGGGTAATGTTAACTTTCATATTAAGCTAACTTCACTATTAACTGAACTTGTTTGGGGAATAACATGGTGATGAAAGTCCTCATTAGCCAGTCCAAGCTGACATTTCTTATGTCTTCAATGGTGCTGGGGTGTTTGTTGGTAGTGTGGTGAGAAGCAGAGAGGGATTTCGAGGAAGAAGTACGATTTTGAATGACCTGTTAGACCTGAGGAATGGGGCATTAGCCCTAAGTAAGCAGTTAGGTACGGTTTGTAGTGACAAAGCTTAAGGATCTGAGTTCCAGCCTTGAAGTTGTAAGCAACATAATAAAGGGGAAGACTTTCATCATTGGACACAGAGAAGTAAATAAAAATGAGGGTATGTGAAAGGTCTAGAATCTAGGTGAGGAATAAAGCTTTCTGACCTTCACAATAAGAAATTAGCCATTGCCAAGATTATACAAATCTTATGCTTCATACAAATTCTGCAGCATTTTTAGAATATCTAATGTTTAAATCTCTCATTAAACTATATTCTAAAATTCTAAAATGATTGTCAATAACATTTATGTAACTATTCAACTTACCAAGAAACACTCTGCCTTTGGAGTCTCATTGTCTTTCTCAGTGCCAAGGAAAAGCTACAACACACCCAGGCACAAAAAGTCCCATTCTGCCAGCTCAGGCACTCTGGGTCTCTGGGTACCCAGACCACGTAAGATAGAGACATGGTGGAAAGTCAAGAGTGTGAACTTGGCTGTGGAAAGGCCATTTGGAAACACATGTGTAGGACAATCTGTTCTTCGAGGTTTTAACAACCACTTTCAAACAGAAATCAGACGAGGCAGAGGAATCAATTCTGGCATTGAAACATTGGTTCCAATAATCACAAGCCAAGCAAGTTCTTTTCCTTTAAAGAAAATCTCTAGGATTAGCACCTTGTTCCCAGTAATCACAAGCCAAGCAGGGTTTTTTTTCTTTTTTTAATTTTACCTGACTCACATTAAGACTGTATAGTCCCACCCTAATGTTATGTAGACCTTGACCCACATAGGAGTGTACAGATTCACGCTCAATATCTAGCATATTAATGTGTGTGTAGGTGCATACAAGCACACACACAAAAATGTGTGCACAAAAACACATGCACACATTTTTGTGTGTATATACTGAAGCTGTGAACGACACATGACCAGGAGCATTACGCTGGGGTGAAGGTGGGATTGAGGGCAGCAATGCACAAACTACTATTATGCCTTCGTCTGTTACTGGGGATTGGGCACCACCCTTCCTGCTAAAATAGGGAGACAGCATGAAGCAACTGCAATGCATAACTGTAGTTGGAGAGGGAAAACAAGGAATCGTGGAAGTCATAACACCAACAATTAGAATCCTTGTGAATTTTATTTTATTGACAACTACAAAAGACCTTGCAAACAGAAATCTAAACAGATAAATGCAGGGCAATGAAGAAAAGGCAAGGGTATGGCTCTCCTGGAGAAATCATCAAGGCAAGTGAACTATGGCAAGTGACAGGAGGAGATAAGGGCACAGTTGTGTTTTCTCAGAAGCTTCTTTAGCGGGCATATGACCTCTGTCCCACTGCCATGAAGCTAACTCTCCCTG